GACGACCCTACCTGGGGACCAGTGGGCGATCCTGGAGAGGTGGTATTTGCAGAGAATAACAGGGTTCACTTGGGATTTCGGGAGCGGTAAACCGAGGGCAATCACTTCAGGTTGGAAATCCAGCCAGGGAGAAGGAGACGAACCAACAGCAGGGGTGACAACAATATCAGGCAGGAGGTCGTGCTCCTGAAGGGCTCGGATGAGTGACCCTCGCCACTGTCTTCTAGATGGAGGTCGGCCTCGGACAGAAGGAGTCAAGTTGGCTTGAACATAGTTGCCCCGAGGATCCCGTAGAATGGAAACGGCAGTTTTTAGGTAAAACTCCTGGACACGATCCTGTAAGGGGGAAAGACCAAGTTCGGTATATAGAAAAGAAGAGCGTGTCCACTGAGGAGCCCCAAGGATGATACGAGCAGCTTTCCTCTGGATAACTTCGAGACGGTTGACAGCAGTCCTACTAATGTTGATGAGGGCAGGGGCGGCGTAGTCGACACAGGAACGAACAAAGGACTTGTACATGGTGAGAAGTACAGGGATGGTGGCACCAAGGGAAGCCCTGCACATGGTAGAGAGGGGAGCGAGACGCCGAAACCCCTAGTACATGATTGGTCGGTCACCCTAGTACATGATTGGTCGGTCACCCTAGTACATGATTGGTCGGTCACCCCAGTACATGATTTGTTGGTCACCCCAGCACATGATTGGTCGGTCACCCCAGCACATGATTGGTCGGTCACCCCAGTACATGATTGGTTGGTCACCCCAGTACATGATTGGTCGGTCACCCCAGCACATGATTGGTCGGTCACCCCAGTACATGATTGGTCGGTCACCCCAATACATGATTGGTCGGTCATCCCAGCACATGATTGATCGATCACCCCAGTACATGATTGATCGATCACCCCAGTACATGATTGCTCGGTCACCCCAGTACATGATTGCTCGGTCACCCCAGTACATGATTGCTCGGTCACCCCAGTACATGATTAATCTTCTGAAAGAGACAATTCAATAATTATATATTTTATAAAAATAGATACAAAACTTGGTTAATTGCAATTATTTGAAAATTCCACATTATGGTATTGTCAGTTTCTGACGAGCCTTAGTTGTGGGGGCATGTTTAGACGGGGCGTGGGAGGTTAATCTGAGCCTCGAGCGTAGAGACCTGGAGGACTTTAAAGCGTGATATATGGTTGTCGGAGAAGGGTGAAGATAATCGTCGTCTTGGGAACTCAATAGGGTCTTCACGGTCACATCACCCAGAAAAGGGAGAAGGTAATCCTCGTCTTGGGAACTCAATAGGGTCTTCACGGTCACATCACCCAGAAAAGGGAGAAGGTAATCCTCGTCTTGGGAACTCAATAGGGTCTTCACGGTCACATCACCCAGAGAAGAGTGAAGGTAATCCTCGTCAAGGGGAACTCAATAGAGTCTTCACGGCCACATCAGCCGTAGTAGGATGAGATTCACATCTTTTGGACCAACACTTGACAAAGGGAAAATTTCACATGCATCTCGCGCCAACTTTAAAGATTCCTTCAGTACGCCAGCCGGGAGAGCTCACATTTACGGTGAATGGTTTCCAAATCAGCTTTGCATCCATCTCACCCGGGTTTGGGAAGTGTGTGTGGAACTGCAGAGGAGGGTAGCTGCTTCTGCCTGAGTTGATTTGTGTATACATTCTAGTTTTCCTCAAGTATTAGGGTCACATTTTCGACCATAACCGATTTTCTGATCGTTAACATATACTTATTAGGAGTGCGGCGAACGAGTGAATAAAGTTATCGCCTATTGTTCCATAAGTCGAAGGTTCGATCACCAGGCACTCCCAGTTCACCCAGCTGTATATGCACAGTTGCACACCTAAGTTTACAATTTGGAGAAATGAAGGCCGTGGAATGCAGTACGGCCCATGCTGCCTTCTTGTGTACCGAAGGCTTAGCCGCTTACTTTATCACCCTATACAGCTTAATAATAAATGCTTTAATAGTGTCTATTTTAAAATTTGAAAATGGAAAGCATGTTGGCGGCTCCAGAAAAACTGCAGATATGTTGAAAGCCATTTATAATAAAAATAATCTTACCATTACATGACATAACATGTCACACCTTATCATAACATAACACACCATATCACAACATAACACACCATATCACAGCATAACACACCATATCACAGCATAACACACCTTATCATAACATAACACACCATATCATAACATAACACACCAATATCACAACATAACACACCATATCATAACATAACACACCATATCACAGCATAACACACCATATCACAACATAACACTCCATATCACAGCATAACACACCATATCACAGCATAACACACCATATCACAACATAACACACCATATCACAACATAACACACCTTATCATAACATAACACACCATATCACAACATAACACCATATCACAGCATAACACACCATATGACAACATAACACACCATATCACAGCATAACACACCATATCACAACATAACACACCATATCACAAGCTAACACACCATATCACAACATAACAATCCATATCACAGCATAACACACCATATCACAACATAACACACCAAATCATAACATAACACACCATATCACAGCATAACACACCATATCATAACATAACACACCATATCACAACATAACACCATATCACAACATAAAACACCATATCACAACATCACACTCCATATCACAACATAACACACCATATCACAGCATAACACACCATATCACAACATAACACACCATATCACAACATCACACTCCATATCACAACATAACACACCATATCACAACATAACACACCATATCACAACATAACACACCATATCACAGCATAACACACCATATCATAACATAACACACCATATCACAACATAACACACCATAACACAACATAACACACCATATCACAACATAACACCCATATCACACCATAACACACCATATCACAACATAACACACCATATCACAACATCACACTCCATATCACAACATAACACACCATATCACAACATAACACACCATATCACAACATAACACACCATATCACAGCATAACACACCATATCACAACATAACACTCCATATCACAGCATAACACACCATATCATAACATAACACACCATATCACAACATAACACACCATAACACAACATAACACACCATATCACACCATAACACACCAAATCACAACATAACACACCAAATCATAACATACACCATATCACAGCATAACACACTATATCACAGCATAACACACCATATCACAACATAACACACCATAACACAACATAACACACCATATCACAACAGTGTCGAGGGTTTAGATTTTAACTCTGGTTCTGTTAAAGATTACTGTCAGGTGGAACACTTTCGCTTTCACCAAGGATATTGAACAAGATTATGGATATTGGTAACAAAAGATGTCTATTTACACGTATTTACACTGATACTCAGCATGAAGACAGTACAGAGCAGCATAAAAATGCGGTTTGGAAGTGTCGGACTGCCGGTCGGAACAAATGTTGGGAGTGTAGACACTAGATGTCAAGCGTGGAAATTATATATCAACACGGCACAGGTGGTAAATTGGTGCCTTCAACATCTTCACAGTCGAGCAAGTATCCTTCTAACCGGCACAGGAACTTGATAATGGACCCGGGAGGAACAGCACAGAGGCTAGGCTGACATTACTATAACTTAACACACATTATTATAACTTAACACACATTATTATAACTTAACACACATTACTATAACTTAACTCACATTATTATAACTTTAACACATTATTATATAACTTAACACACATTATTATAACTTAACACACATTATTATAACTTAACACACATTATTATAACTTAACACACATTATTATAACTTAACACACATTATTATAACTTAACACACATTATTATAACTTAACACACATTATTATAACTTAACACACATTATTATAACTTAACACACATTATTATAACTTAACACACATTATTATAACTTAACACACATTATTATAACTTAACACATTATTATAACTTAACACACATTATTATAACTTAACACATTATTATAACTTAACACACATTATTATAACTTAACACACATTATTAGAACTTAACTCTGATTATTATAACTTAACACACATTATTATAACTTAACACACATTATTATAACTTAACACACATTATTATAACTTAATTCACATTATTATAACTTAACACACATTATTATAACTTAACACACATTATTATAACTTAACACACATTATTATAATCAACACATTATTATAACTTAACACATTATTATAACTTAACACATTATTATAACACACACACATTATTATAACTCTAACTCACATTATTATAACTTAACACACATTATTATAACTTAACACACTTATTATAACTTAACACACATTATTATAACCAACACACATTATTATATAATCTAACACACATTATTATAACTTAACTCACATTATTATGAACTTCAACACACACTATATTTAACTCACATTATTATAACTTAACACACATTATTATAATTAACACACATTATTATAACCAACACATTATTATAACTCAACCATTATTATAACAACACACATTATTATATCACACATTACTATAACCACACCATTATTATAACAACACATTACTATAATAACTCACATTATTATAAACAACTCACATTATTATAACTTAACACATTATTATAACTAACACACATTATTATAACTTAACACACATTATTATAACTTAACACACATTATTATAACTTAACACACATTATTATAACTTAACACACATTATTATAACTTAACACACATTATTATAACTTAACACACATTATTATAACTTAACTCACATTACTATAACTTAACACACATTATTATAACTTAACACACATTATTATAACTTAACACACATTATTATAACAAAAAACTGAACCGGTTGTTGTTGTTGTGTTACAGATGAAGACGCTCACCAGCTGACAAGAGTGATGGACCCTTCAACCACTATGATCGTCTTCTGTGTTAGTTTTCTTCTGCCCTTCGGTAAGTGTCTCTCACCCCGACCATCTCTGACACACTGAGTGCCTCACCCCGACCCCTCTGAGTACACTGAGTACTCTCCCCGACCTCCTCTATGAACACATTGAGGTGTCTCCCCTCACCCCTTGTCTGACACAGTGGGTGCTCCCTCACCCATGTCTGACACACTGAGTGCCTCCCTCATCCCTGTCTAACACAGTGAGTGCCTCCCCACCCTTGGTTCCACACACTGAGTGCCTCCCATCCCTGTCTAACACACTGAGTGCCTCCTCACCCCTGTCTACAGTGGTGCCCCACCCCTGTCTGACACACTGAGGCCTCCTCCATCCCTGTCTAACACACTGAGTGCCTCCCCACCCCTGTCCAACACAGTGAGCCTCCTCACCCCTGTCTGACACAGTGAGTGCCTCACCCCCTGTGTCTGACACAGTGAGTGCCTCCTCACCCCTGTCTGACACAGTGAGTGCCTCCTCACCCCCGTCTGACACATGAGTGCCTCCCCACTCCCCTGTTCAACACAGTGGGTGTGCCTCCCTCACCTTGTCTGACACAGGAGTGCCTCTCCCTCCCCTGTCTGACACACAGTGAGGTCTCCCCACCCCTGTCTGACACAGTGGGTGCCTCCTCACCCCTGTCTGACACAGTGAGTGCCTCACCCCTGTCTGCACACAGTGAGTGCCTCCTCACCCCTGTCTGACACAGGAGGCCTCCCTCACCCCTCTGACACAGTGAGTGCCTCTCACCCCTGGTCTGACACAGTGAGTGCCTCCTCACCCCTGTCTGACACAGTGAGTGCCTCTCTCACCCTGCACCTAACACAGGTGCCTCCCACCCCTGTCTGACACAGTGAGTGCCTCCCCACCCCTGTCTGACACAGTGAGTGCCTCCTCACCCCTGTCTGACATAGGAGTGCCTCCTCACCCCTGTCTCACAGGGTGCCTCACCCCCAGTCTGACACAGTGAGTGCCCCCTCCCCTGTCTGACACAGTGTGCCTCCCCACCTGTCTGACACAGGAGTGCCTCACCCTGTCTGACACAGGCCTCCTCACCCCTGTCTAACACAGGGTGCCTCCTCACCCCTGTCTGACACAGTGAGTGCCTCCCCACCCCTGTCTGAACAGTGAGGCCTCCCCACCCCTGTCTGACACAGTGGGTGCCTCCTCACCCCTGTCTGACACAGTGAGTGTCTCCTCACCCTGTCTGACACAGTGGGTGCCTCACCCCTGTCTGACACTGAGGCCTCCTCACCCTGTCTGACACAGTGAGTGCCTCTCACCCCTGTCTGACACATGAGTGCCTCCCTCACCCCTGTCTGACACACAGTGAGTGCCTCCCACCACACCTCACTGTCTGACACACTGAGTGCCTCCCACCCCTGTCTGACACAGTGAGTGCTCCCTCACCCCTGTCTGACACACTGAGTGCCTCCTCACCCCTGTCTGACACAGTGAGGCTCTCCTCACCCTTGTCTGATCTCAGTGAGTGCCTCCCTCACCCCGTCTGACACAGTGAGTGCCTCCCTCACCCCTGTGTCTGACCTATGGGTGCTCTCTCACCCCTTGATCTGACACAGGAGTGCCTCCCTCACCCCTGTCTGACACACTGAGGCCTCCCTCACCCCTGTCTGACAGGTGTGCCTCACCCCTGTCTGACACGTGAGTGCCTCCTCACCCCTGTCTGACACACTGAGTGCCTCCTCACCCTGTCTGACACAGTGAGTGCCTCACTCTCTGTCTGACACACTGAGTGCCTCCTCACCCCTGTCTGACACAGGAGGCTCTCACCCTGTCTGACACAGAGTGCCTCCTCACCCCTGTCTGACACACTGAGTGCCTCCCTCACCCTGTCTGACACTGAGTGCTCCTCCTCACCCCTGTCTGACACAGTGAGTGCCTCCTCACCCCTGTCTGACACACTGAGTGCCTCACTCTGTCTGACACAGTGAGTGCCTCCCTCACCCCTGTCTGACACAGTGAGTGCCTCCCTCCCCATGTCTGACACACTGAGTGCCTCCCTCACCCCTGTCTGACACACTGAGGCCTCCCTCACCCCTGTCTGACACAGTGAGTGCCTCTCCCCATGTCTGACACACTGAGTGCCTCCCTCACCCCTGTCTGACACACTGAGTGCCTCCCTCACCCCTGTCTGACACAGTGAGTGCCTCCCCTCACCCCTGTCTGACACAGTGGGTGCCTCCCTCACCCCTGTCTGACACAGTGGGTGCCTCCCTCACCCCTGTCTGACACAGTGGGTGCCTCCCCTCACCCATCTGCTGCAGTAGTGCCTCCCTCCACCCCTGTCAGCACAGTAGTGCCTCCTCACCCCTGTCTGACACAGTGAGTGCCCTCCTCACCCCTGTCTGACACAGTAGTGCCTCCCTCACCCTGTCTGACACAGTGATGCCTCCCTCACCCTGTCTGACACAGTGGTGCCTCCCTCACCCTGTCTGACACAGTGGTGCCCTCCCTCACCCCTGTCTGACACAGTGGTGCCTCCCTCACCCTGTCTGACACAGTGGTCTCCCTCACCCTGTCTGACACAGTAGTGCCTCCCTCACCCCTGTCTGACACAGTGAGTGCCTCCTCACCCCTGTCTGACACAGTAGTGCCTCCTCACCCCTGTCTGACACAGTGAATGCCTCCCTCACCCCTGTCTGACACAGTAGTGCCTCCCTCACCCCTGTCCTGACACACTAGTACCTCCCTCCCTGTCGCTTTGTGCCTCCCTCACCCCTGTCTGACACAGTGAGTGCCTCCTCACCCCTGTCTGACACAGTGAGTGCCTCCCCTCACCCTGTCTACACAGTGAGTGCCTCCCTCACCCCTGTCTGACACAGTGAGTGCCTCCCTCACCCCTGTCTGACACAGTGAGTGCCTCCCCTCCCCCTGTCTGACACAGTGGTGCCTCCCTCACCCTGTCTGACACAGTGAGTGCCTCCCTCACCCTGTCTGACACATGAGTGCCTCCCTCACCTGTGTCTGACACAGTGAGGTGCCTCCCTTCTTGCCTTTAAGTGCCTCCCTCACCCCTGTCTGCACACACGAGTGCCTCCCCTCACCCCTGTCTGACTTACAGTAGTGCCTCCCCTCACCTGTCCCTTTGCGTGCCTCTCACCCTGTCACACACAGTGGGCCTCCCCTCACCCCTGTCTGACACACTGAGTGCTCCTCACCTCTGACACAGTAGTGCTCCCTCACCCCTGTCCCAGTAGTGCCTCCTCACCCCTGTCTGACACAGTGAGTGCCTCTCACCCCTGTCTGACACAGTGGTGCCTCCCCTCCCCCTGTCTGACACACTGAGTGCCTCCCTCACCCCTGTCTGACACACTGAGTGCCTCCCTCACCCCTGTCTGACACAGTGGTGCCCTCCCCTCACCCTGTCTGTCACAATGAGTGCCTCCTCACCCCTGTCTGACACAGTAGTGCCTCTCACCCTGTCTGACACAGTAGGCCCTCCCTACCCCTGTCTGACACAGTAGTGCCTCCCTCACCCCTGTCTGGCTTACACTGATACCCCTCCCTCCCCTGTCTGACACAGTAAGTGCCTCCCTCACCCCTGTCTGACACAGTGCCTCCCTCACCCCTGTCTGACACACTGAGTGCCTCCCTCACCCCTGTCTGACACACTGATTTCCCTACCCCTGTCTGACACAGTGGTGCCTCCCTCCCCCTGTGACACACAGGCCTCCCTCACCCCTGTCTGACACACTGAGTGCCTCCCTCACCCCTGTCTGACACAGTAGTGCCTCCCTCACCCCTGTCTGACACAGTAGTGCCTCCCCTCCCCTGTCTGACACAGTGAGTGCCTCCCCACCTGTCTGACACAGTGGTGTCCCTCACCCCTGTCTGACACATGAGTGCCTCCCTCACCCTGTCTGACTTTGGGTGCCTCCTACTGTCTGACACACTGAGTGCCTCCCTCCCTGTCTGACACACTGGTGCCTCTCACCCTGTCTGTATTTTAATTGTCTCTCACCCCTGTCTGACACACTGAGTACTCCCTCACACTGTGTGTGCCTCCCTACCCCTGTCTGACACACTGGTGCCCCTCCCTCACCCCTGTCTGACACAGTGAGTGCCTCCTTACCCCTGTCTGACACACAGTGCTCCCTCACCATGTCCTGAGTGCCTCCTCACCCCTGTCTGACACACTGAGTGCCTCCTCACCCTGTCTGACACAGTGAGTGCCTCCCTCACCTGTCTGACACACTGAGTGCCTCCTCACCCTGTCTGACACAGTGAGTGCCTCCCTCACCCATGTCTGACACCTGAGTGTCTCCTCACCTGTCTGACTTACTGAGTGCCTCCCCACCCCTGTTTGTTGAGTGCCTCCCTCCCCTATGTCTGACACACTAGGTGCCTCCCCTCACCCCCTGTCTGACACACTAGTGCCTCCCCTCCCTATGTCCCCGCTTACACTGAGTGCCTCCCCTCACCCCTGTCCCCTGTTGCCTCTCTCATCCCTGTCTGACTCTGGTGCCTCCTCCCTGTCTGACACACTGAGTGCCTCCCTCACCCATGTCCCCGACACACGTTTCCTCCCTCACACCGACACAGTGGTGCCTCCCTGCCCCTGTCTGCACGTGAGTGCCTCCCTCCCTGTCTGACCACTGAGTGCCTCCCTCACCCTGTGTTCTGGGTGCCTACTGTCTGACACAGTGAGTGCCTCCCTCTTGTCATCTGAGTGCCTCCCTCACCCTTGTCTGTTACTGATGTCTCTCTCACCCTGTCTGACACACTGAGTGTCCCTCTTTATCTCTGCTTTAGTGCCTCCCCTCATCCCTGTCTGACACACTAGTGCCTCCCTGCCCTGCTTTTGTTTGCCCCTACCCCTTACACACTGAGTCCTCCCTGTCTGACACACTGGTGGCTCCCTACTTGGCTTACACTGGGTGCCTCCCTGTCACTCTAATTTGCCTCCCTGCCTGACACACTGTTTACTCCCTGCCTGACACACTGAGTGCCTCCCTGTTTGCCCATACACAAGTGCTTCTGTTTTGCCTG